GAGAGAGAGAGAGAGAGAGAGAGTCAAAGAATATTCTGTAATTCTTTTGAGCATAATAATATGCGTAAACAAAAGCATTAAAGTGTGTTATTTTCTCAACGCCTGTGAACTACACTATTATTAATTGAATTCATATATTATTTATTTCACAAAACAGAAGAATAACATAATATTTGTCATAAACCTTAAGGTAAATAATTTTGTTTTTACATTCAATCGTTTTCTCATTACAAACGCCCACACATTATGTGTCCAACAAATAACAAATAAGTTTAGCATTATATCAATTTATATGATACTAATAAATGCAATTGACTTATAAATATGCTTTAATAAATTATAATTGTAAAAGGTGAGATGGAGTTAGTTAATTAGTTATATAAGTTAATTAGTTAATATAACTTGTATATACAACTTTATATAATTTTTATATATGATATCTTGTTACTTATAAACTTATTATGTACTAGATTCTTGTAACTAGAATCTAGTTAGATGCAATCTGATAATGCCAGTAAATAAATATTTAATAACTACAAATCTGTTTATGTATTCCCTAATATTGCAATTATTATAACTAAACCAATTGGAGCCCTGTTAATGATAATGGTTGTCTAGACAGATAAATTAAATTTATTTACCCTGGGCTAATTGCTCACAATTGTCAGTGAATATATGCGATACATTCACATTCAGTACATTTGTTTCAATGCGATATCTTTAATAACAATACATGACGTTATGTGTTGTATAACTGTTGCTCTCGTTTGACGTCATATTCAATGTGTAAACATTAAATTTATGAAAATTGTTGTTTTTATTTGACATAGGTGACAAATATTATTCTTTAAGCCCTGGTATATTTAGAAAATTAATTATAATTACCAGGATTAGCGTTGATGAATAGCCTATGGTGATTTAACGCACTATAATTGATGATTGGTTGCATTAAATGGTGACATACAAGTGAGCATGGTACATTGCATTTAATTACAATTAATGGCATTCAAATGTATTATTTAGTGTTAATTAATTAAATGTTTTAATTGACATTAAAACTAATGGGACGACGACTGCCAGCAAATACGTTAACACTGTCTCAGGTATGCATACATTTAGCATATTGTTTATGATTTAAATTATATTGCACAAATTATCATGATCATTTTAAGTATAGTACAGATTCTGTATACATTGATTATTTTTTGTTAGACTCTAACAGTTAGAGAGTTGGGTATGAAGTTTATATTTGAAATGCAACTTTTTGAATTGATCAAGGTTGTTTTAACGTTAGGAGGCGTTTAGTGTGTGTTATTTGGGTTAATACACGATTTAAATAATAATTAGGGATTAATCGGAGTTTTAAATAATTGGTTTAAAATAAAACAAATCTTTTTTAGATTATATAACAATTTGAATGAGACTTTAAATTACAAAATCATTTTCTTAATTTGTTTGCAAAGTTTTTTAGCCTAAATTTATTTCTTACATTAAATTTAAATAATTAATTAATTTCCTGTATTTTTATCCCCGTTTTAATTATCGCTCGCATTATGTGTTTGTAATAATAATTATAATAATTACCGAAACAAACAGTTTGTGTTAAGACAACAAACTCTAAGCCTATATAAAGACTTCTTGAAACTCATTAGACGTACGGATAATCATAAAGAGCTTAAGGATTGGATTAGAGATGAATTTCGCCAAAATATACATCACAAACAACAGGTATAACACATTTATAGAACTTACATGTTATATATGTTTTGATTTGATTTTTCTTATTTATTCACTTCTCCTATAAATCTATTTATCTTTTGTTTTAATATATAATGAATGCAAAAGTCTTACAGAATTTTTTTAACGGGAATTTTGGGTTTAATTCCTGGAAAATCAATTACACAGTATTTTAGACAATAATAAGAATTTAGGTGTGTGCGCGGTATTCGTTAGCATTCATTATTAGAGATTTTATTTAGCAATTAATTTAGAGTTAATTTAAATGAGTAAAATTTTCTTACCATGCTCATTTAGTTATAACCCATTTGTTTATTTAATGTACAGATTATAGATAAACCTATATCGAAATANAGAGAGAGAGAGAGAGAGAGAGAGAGAGAGAGAATATTCTTATATTCTTTTATATTTTAATCCCAAAGAGTTTTGAGATTTATTTAGAGAAATGGGAATTAAAGTAAAGTATAATAAGAATTACAAAAAGTATAATAATAGCGCTATAGAGTAGGGCTGATATACTCGACTATAGATATAGAATTTATATTATAAAAATTAATGTACATTTTAGCAGCTAAAATTTAGCTAGATAGCCATTTGTAAAAACATGATAAAGATTAAATTTCTATTTTTAATCTTAAATTTTATATGACATGAGCACTTCTGGTCTCAAATCAAATTGTTTTGTTTGATAATTAAAATTATATTTTAATTTAAAAATATAATTGTTTAAACATTATTTGCGTTCAAACGTAATGTGATATTAAATAAATGATTTTTGATTAATTTTATAATTGTTTTGTTTTAATAGGAAATAATTAAAATGCATTTAACGAGAGGCCGGACGGCGTTCAAGCAATTGGAGACAAGCATTAGTTTATCGCATAATTAATGGCAATTAACTTAATACATTTATATGAATTGTTAAAAATAGCGATTAATATTAATTAAATGTCTTATTCTGTATATAATTAGAAAATAAATTAAACAATAATAAATTGTATTAAACAATCAAGTTTTTGTAAAATTTGAATTATTTTTATGGCGATTATAATTTTCAACCAGAAATAATGTGCGGGTATTTCGATATAGGTTTATCTATAATCTGTACATTAAATAAACAAATGGGTTATAACTAAATGAGCATGGTAAGAAAATTTTACTCATTTAAATTAACTCTAAATTAATTGCTAAATAAAATCTCTAATAATGAATGCTAACGAATACCGCGCACACACCTAAACACACGACAGCGAACACCTCTAGTCGAGTCCGAAAGCCAGAGCACATGTTATCTAATGTTTTGAAATGTGTTTCAAATGTTGTGTTTATTTCTCACGTGTTTTGCAAACAATTTAATTGCAATTAAAACACAAAACTTGTTATAAAAACAATGAAAACATTAAATAATAATAAAAAGGGTTTTAAGAAAAAGCCGTTTAAACCATCGATGAAGGCGTCGACAGCGAAGACGAAGATTAAGACAACGACTGCACCGCCGGTGAAGACCAAGAAGTCTAAAACCAAAGCCATTAATGATAATGAGATGGAGACCACGACCGCCGATGACCACGACTTACAGCAAGAGTTGTCGCAAATGATCGCCGACTTCGGCCGACAGAAGACTAAACAATCAAAGAAACAAAAGAGTGACAAAAGTGGACTCTTGAAGACGGCTAATGATGACAATACCGCAAACCATACGAAGACTCCCGAAGTGAATAGCAGACGGTTGAAAAGTGAGGCCATCGATGGAGGCGTTGATAATCGGTCCAAATTTGTACTTCGGCCCAAATTGATGGTCAAATTGGAGACCAAATGGCACGAAATGCGTGTGTTTGACGAGTCGGCCGACTCTTCAGCCGTTCAACGATATAATCACCAAAAGGTTCAGGAGTTGAGACGCGAGGCCGAAGAGCTGATGAACAAAGACGTTGAGATGTATCACGAGTTACAGTCGACGGCCACCGGAGCCAAAGCCGACGATTGGCAATGGATTCGTACGGTTCTGAAGAGCGGCACTTTGACCGACAAACTGTCCGCACATACAGTACTCATACAGG